CCCCCCCCCCCCCCCAAAAAAAATTCTGAATTGCTACAATATCAATACTGGAACAAGGACAACAGACTCTCTTTGATTGTCATCTACAGCCCCCAGATTGAACTCCATCATTAATGACTTCCAAGCCCTCCTCGAAAAATGATGATCATCTCAAGATAGGCATGAGGGACAAATCTGTCCTGGCTTACAAGCAGCCCCACAACCTCCAACAACATCTCTCCAGGAACAGATTACCTAACTCCTATTCTCACCAAGGCACCAGACCTTGCTCCAAACTCGAAGTCTGCTGTACCTCCTTATCGACACAGATCACATCAACACTGGCCCAAGTGCATGGATTATAACATCTGAGGTTCACTTACCTGCACTTCCACCAATAACACACCTCCTTACAGTGCCCCTTTGCTGTCTACATTGGGCACACATGGTGATCCCTATGTATAAGAATGGTTGAACACATCGATGCCAAAAAGACAGACAAGCCCGCAGCAGAACATTTAACCTCCCTGGTTCCATCACTTACCTCAGAGCAGCTGTTCTTAGACAACAAAACTCTAAAAACAAACTTGAACATGAAATTACAGAACAAGAAAGCATCCACAGACTGGATTGTGTTAAGTATGGTCTAAACTAGGCATGTTCAACCTCCAGCCCACATATCAAGTGTGGGCCACACAGCCATTGCATCTGGCCCACAGGGCTGCCCAAAGGTTGGGAAATTTGGCAACAGGAAAGCAGTGGCCACCCACCCTCGCTGCCAAATTTCCATGCCCCATCCACCAACACAGCCAGATCCAAGCCAGGACTGGATCAGGGCTGTGCCACATCTCCCTCCACCTTACCATAGGGCTGGATTGGGCCTTGGCTGCCCCCCTATTCCTTCTACATGGCCTGGTGGAGCCCCACTGTGCCGGTTCTGGGTGCCAGATCAGGGCTACACCTGGCTCATGGACAACTGGGCACTGCCCATCTAGCCTGCCAAGGAAGAAAGTTGAGCACCACTGGTCTAAACCAAGACTATGGATTCTTCTCCCATACCTGGATTAGCTTTTATAAGCCCTACATCCCTCAATGAGTTACCTGATTTGAATTTCTCTCTCCTACCCACCTTGTCTCCTGCAGCAGTGCCCCCTTTTTCCTCGCACCTTCCCTAACCCTTTGTAGTCTAATCACTGCTTTCTATTTAGCAGCTCTGCTTCCAGCAGTCCCTTCACAGCATCTAATGAAGCAAGTCCTCTGCTTACAAGTAAGTATACATCTCCTATTTGGTTAGTCTATAAAATACAAATCTATCCTGCCTTCTCAGTTTTATTTTTCCAGCATTTTGCAACTTTGCTCTTAAGCCCACCATATCAACTTATGGTTGCATATTAATTCAAATAGGTAATCTGGACTGTGGGAGTATCTATGTGGCTTAATATGAACCAGAAACTTGAGACTGGCTTTGTGGCTCCTATACCAGACTGTATGCTATCACTATGGAGTGGACACCTCTCCCTTTCCCTCTGGTTTTGACCAGAAATTCCCCATCCATGATGCAGTTACCCAGTGGAAATTTCAATTAAGTAGGTACATTTGATGACAAGTTTCCAATATAACAAAGTGGTATATTCTGTTGAGAAACAAGTTAGTAAAAAAAAAAAAAAAATCTTGACTGGCTTTGCCCAGCAGAGTGTCCACTTAAATTGTGCCTCAGGGAATCCACTTCCATATGAGGGAGAGGACAAAGCCAGAGGTTTTCTCCCAGTATGGGCACCCAAAAGCCTGATTTAATCAGGGGTGATGGGTATAGGCCTGAATAGGCTACCACTTTATAACCTGGGAAGTGCTATTCTCCCACAGCCAAGGTATTGTGACTGGCACTAAGCCCAGGATATTTATTTTCATTGGTACTTGTTTTTATTATTAAACACCCAGTGTCTTCTGATGGTTAAACTCTATATCCTGCTTTATTTCTGAGTAAGATGAATTGAGTGTTTTTGCCTTGTGCCAAAATGTTTACAAAAACACTTTAAAATAAACCCCTTGAAATATGTAGTGTAAAATTCCACAGATATTTCATCTCTGTAGCAGCTTACAGTATCTCTCTAACCTTGGAGCTTTTTTATTGAAGCAAATTGCTTTTGGTTTTAATCTGATATATAATCTTTCAAACATGCTTAAAAAACAATAGACCAAAAGGCGACCCATAAATGTCTAAATCATGCCACCCTGTGGAGAACCATGCACTCACAGGTATTTTTTTGCAGACTGCTCTCTCATTTAGAAGTCGCTGCCCTTCAGGGTAGCTGCCAGCTCCTATTCCCCCCCCCCATTTCAGCCTGGTCCTCATGTAATAGTATTATAATTTACCCAGTCGAAGCATGAGGGGCTCTTGGCTGAAGGTAAGAATAATTCAAATTCAAACAGTTGGATGATGTTGAGTTACTCCAGGGAGCCACAGGATTGTCTGGCTTCAGAGAGCAGTCTTGAAGAACATTGCAGGGATGTCCAGTGGAACTGGCGTCGGAGAAATTCTCAGAGAATCTGCAAGGAAACGTACAGGGCGCCCCTACAGAAGGGAATGGGAGCGAAGGCCGCAGTCCAGTGGACCACGCAGCATCGTAATGTAAAGCTGCAAGGAACACAAATGAAGTGTAAACATCAAGAGAGTAAAACGCATCCTCTCAAACAAGGTAAAAGTAGAAGTTGCACAACCCACCCTTGAGTTGTGGGGGAGAACATGGTTCTGATCCCGAGTCTGGTGGAGAGTCTGGTAACCGATTCTGCCTAGTAGAAACAAGAGAGACTATTTTTTTTTTGATAATGGAAATTAAAATTAAGTTATAGCTTGTAATCCCTCTAAGTGGCAGGGGGCAAGTGGGGAACCAGTTACAAGCGCTGACATGCTAGGGGGATGTGAAGGCCCGGAAGACAGCAGTTGCCACTTCCACCCAGGGGGCAAAACTGACCTGTAGCATCTCCGTTTTACACTGCCTCAAACTACACAAGTGACATAACACAGAGACAAGGTAGCCATTGATCCTTGGGCTTCTTATAAAAGCAGGTCAACCTGTGGCACAGGTGCCACAAGTGGCATGGGCAGCCTCTGTGTGTGGCACACAGCACATCAGGGAGGGGACGGGCAGTACAGTGGCAGATAGGGCAGGAAGCAGAAAGTGGAGCAGAAGATCAGGCAGAAAACACAGGACTGGGAGCAAAAGGCAAAGCAGCAGAGCAGGCAGGAGAAGGAGATTGGAATAGCACTTGGGGAACATGCAGGGCTAATTTGTGGCAAGCCTGCCAAAAAGGTTGGCCCCCGTTGCTCAAGACTATGGATGAAAGATTAACAATATCTGCTTCAGCAGTCTTTACCATACTCTAACCAGGTATTTTGGATGATATTCTCACAGCAGCTGGGAAGTGTAACTGAATTACTCCATAGGCCTCTAAAACTTTGACAGTGTGGAAATTAAGAGAAGCAAGCAAGAGACACAGAGGAAATGGTATACTATAGAGTGCAGTGGAAGAGGACAAAAACTAAGCTAATATGCTTTATTCTAAATTTAATTTA